AGGTCAAGACGGAACACCAGGTCAAGACGGAACACCAGGTCAAGACGGATCACCAGGTCAAGACGGGTCGCCGGGTCAAGACGGAACACCGGGAACGAAGGGAACTCCAGGCACGAAGGGAACCCCAGGTACCAAGGGAACTCCAGGAACCAAGGGAACTCCAGGAACCAAAGGAACTCCGGGAACGAAAGGAACACCAGGCCAAGGCGGATACCCGGGTCAAGACGGAATACCAGGTCAAGACGGAACTCCAGGTCAAGACGGAACACCAGGTCAAGATGGAACACCAGGTCAAAACGGAACACCAGGTCAAGATGGAACACCAGGATCACCCACCACACCGGGAACTCCAGGAAAACGACCACATCCCCCAGGGAAAGGCGGGAAAGTTTCAAAGAATCAAGGAACTCGAGGTATTTTCTATTTATTACATAAGGATAATCTCATACGTCATAAGAACTATTACGATCGTACGTCATCCCCCTCATTTTCTTTAAAAAGAAAAGAGATAGTCTGTTTAATTGTTTGTTAGTTAATTTGTGAGTTACATTGCGACTTCTTGTTGGCTGTGAACAGTTGTTGACGAGTGTATTACTTGTTTTTTTCTTTATAAAAAAAGCAAATGTACTTACTTTGACTACTTAGTCTATGTACATGTTCTTCCAGACTATCCTCTACATCTATGCCAAATTTCGTCCAGATCCGTCCAGCCGTTTAGGCTACAAACTAACAAACGTTCATAAATTTGATCTTTTTATAATATTTAACTAGCTTTCGCCAGCGACTCCGTCCGCGTGAAATTAAAAAAAATCAAAAGGAAGTAGCCTAAGTGTTTTTCTAGGCTATGTTCTACATCTATTTAAAAAAAAATTTCGTCCAGATTCGTTCACGCGTTTAGGCTATAAACTCCAACAAAAATCCATCCTTCTAAACTTTTGCATTTATAATATTAGTAAGATAGGATTTACGTGATTCTTGTTTTATGAGAAATGGCTGATATTTAGTGTAATTTTATTTATGAAATTATTGTTTACAGATATCCTGAACGCGCTGAAGGCTGACGTTAATCTGCACTTTTTGATCCTACCTGATGGACCTGGCAACACCAAGAACTGTTACTGCACTTGTGAGAGTCCAAACCCGCCTAGGGTGATATCTCTTAAACAACTACCAGCACAAATATCTGCATAATTCAGATTTAATTAAACAATTTGATGTACTTTTTATTTCAATTACGTAAAAAAAATGTATTCGGTTTGAATTTTTGATTTTAAATAAAGCATTTTAACATATTTATGACTGTTTTTTTTATCTTAACTGATATAAAATACCTTATTTAGACACATTACATTTCAAAACTGAAACGTGGTAAAACATAGCCTATGTTACTAAGTAATAACGTAGCTTTTTGATAGTGTAAGAATTATGAAATCGGTCCTAGTTTTTGAGTTATTCCAATACATACAAAAAACCAAAAACATCTTTCCTCATTATAATATTAGTATAGACATGTCCACATGAAATTCGTCTGTAAAAATTTATCTTGCAAATGTCAAAATTAAAATGGTCAAAGACAACGAACGGCAATCCTATTGGCTGAGAATTATGAGCTACCACAACATCTTTTTGTCCCATACTCGCATGACGGTTTTTGTCCGATTTCCCCTTTAAGCTTAATATCGGGAAAATGTAGCCTAGCATATCGTAAACGTAGGACTGTAAATTAATTATTCCAATATATCATTGATTGATGACACGTAACTGTGTTTTCGATTTATTATAAGTGTTGATTAGAGATTCAAAAACATATAGAGGAAGCATAGTTTACACTTCACTTGAGTTTTTCACATGATCTTCTAACGCCATCTATTGACAGACCCTCAATATCACAAGTCAATTTAATTAAGTGTATTTCAATGCGTTGCCAATAGATGTCACTAATTTTTTTGTGTGTTTAGTTTATTTTATAACAAGAGATGGAGCTTATTATAATTTTGTGAAATATTTTTATAACATATTGTTTTTTGTTTTTGTTTTTAATGTTTTTTTTTGTGTGAAAGAGGATATGCTTAAGAAAGGAGTGTATTCAGATATGACGGCTGATAGAGATGTATGGAAGAGCAACACATACTATGCCGACCCTCCGTAAGGGATAAGGGCAAGTTGATGATGTTTTTATAACATGTCAATACAAGGTCATGTGGTTCCACCTTTTAAGCTTGACAACATATTACTTTGCAAGAAAGAAGTCTAGTCTATATATTTCTTGATTGAATGGATATTAGAAAAAAGACAAGAAAGGATATTTGACCATGTTTGGTCTAAACCTTTAAATACCTTCAAAATTTGATACTGGGGTTATAAATCGCATTGGACGAATACAATCGATTTTATTGTAATACTAGCTTGGTCGCGACTTCGCCCGCGTGTATTTAAAATAGCCTTTATTACCCACTGATAACGTAGCTTTTTAATTGTGTAAGAATTTTTGAAATCAGCCCAGTAGTTTTTGAAAATACAAATCTTTTCTCCGTTTGGATTTCGCGACAAGTTGAAAAGACAATATGTAAAAATGTCGGTCATTAGCACAGCAAAGAGTATACTCACTATTTGTTTGAAAATCAGGCTTTTAAGAGTTAACCCTTAACTTGACAGAATTTTATTTTTTAGAATATCAAAATAATATTCATAGCACTTAATCTTAATGACCCAAGGTGTTTAGAAAAAACAATAAAAAAAAATTCTGTTGTATTTCTAGATACACTAAGAAGAAAAGGGTTAAAAGGTAGTGTAAAAGGGGTTGATGAAAATAAAATGAATACCAGATATAAAAAAAATTATTTCAATTTTATTAAAACTTCACTCACTTTATATCCGCCTTGTAAAATACATTATATATCAACATAATTATTATTAAAACACTTCAACGAAGTTTGTACGGGCGGCATTCATAGCTGGAAGAGAAATGAACACTACATTAACATCTATACTATTATAATAAAGCGTAAACACATACTTTGTTGCCTAACATGTTAACAATTTCAGTATATTTTTGAATAATTCTACTTTTAATAAAAAGCCCTACACTTAGGTCACGCTTTAGTCTATATATTTTCACGACATTAAACTCAGGGGGTAAATATTTTGGATAAATGTGGGAAAGAGAACATAAGTTGCTGTCAACATCAAGAAAGCATGATTGCTAAGATTTGTCATGTCATGTCATTTTGACATTTGCTATTGATAATTTGACAAATGTAAAGAATAAAATAATATTATCATAATTTCATGCGAATGAAGCCTGTTTTATAATATAGTGAGACATTTATTATAATAGACAAGCTGTTAAATAGCTTAAAAATGTTAAAAATATAGCCTATGTTACTCAACAATAACAGCCTTCTATTGTTAAAAGAATTTTTGAAATTGCCCCAGTAGTTTTTGAGTTATTTCAATACATAAAAATACAAATCTTTCTTTGTATTAATAGTATAGAAAAATATGGATTATTATAAAGTTGTAAAATTTATTATTACAGGAGACAGCATTAATCTTGACAACTGATATAGTACCTATCAAAGTTACCGGTGAAAAAAAAAATGTCTTGTCTATATTTTTATAACTCTTTGCTTAACATAAAGTGATCTTACAAGTACAGTTAGGGAATCTAACAGTTTTTCACCTAAAAACTAGTCATTTGCGTGTATTGTAAATATTGACAATAAAATGCATCTTATTTTGCTATTAAAACTTTTAACAGTGGTAGAACCCGCTTTAACATCTACGCACTGTAGGGCTCGCCCCCAATACCAAGACCACACAGAAAACAGGCGTGAAGTGGAAGTAATTCCGCGTTCAGTCTGATGAGTGTGTTGCCGGAGGCCTAATTTTAGTCCCTTTCCCTTTCCACCCTTTTCTTAAGAGGAAAAGATGAAAAGGAAAAGTGGATTTGACAGTGGAGGAGACGCACAGGAAGAGGAAATGTCCTCTTTATGTGCGTCTCCACCGTCAATGAAGGGTAGGCAGCGCTGCAATTGCGGATGTTTATATGCAGCGGTCGCTTTCCATTTCGGTAGATTCAGGCTGCGTGCTTGTTTGCCACCTTATATTATAAAAAAAACAACATAAACTAACCTTATTCCATTGCAGACACATCCAAATTAATATTAACATAACTGGCCCCCATAATTTCTTTATGACGCAGTGACACAACATGTTTCTTAGCGTTCTCATTGTCTTCAACATCAGCATCGCAAACCCCACACTTCAATTTCCCGAATTCATAATAAACATACTTGTTCCTAGCTAGCATATTTATGTTATGTTTCAATTCCAAATAGAAACGGAACAGATTCTCCGATGTTGGCCTTTTAGCGAAATGTTCCGCGTAAACTAAATGCATTAACAAAGAACGTATAGAGCTAAAAACACTTTTACACGGCTCACAATTAAATGTAGCCCCTTCACTGTGCAAGATATAATTTCCATGCATATAAACACTTATAATATCACCTTTGTTTGACCCAACTTTCACATCAGCTAAGGCATTCTGGTGTTCCAAATTAGTTAAAACATGTTTCACAGCTTCGTTCGCGTTATTAAACACAACATCACAGAAATCACATTTAAAAACATCCGTAGATATTTTATTCATAATAAACAACCCTTCATCAACATCATAAAGTGCGGAACGTATCAATTTGGCAATCGTTTCAATATGCAAATTGCTTTCAAAATGTTCCACGATCGCTGCAAACGATGGTAAGGCGATATACTCAGGGCATATTGTACAAATGTAATGATTGCCGAAACTTGCAAAATATTCACTCGGTCGGCAATAATTTTTATACAACATTGTCAATTTGTGCGGAGCTGCATTCCTGAGATGCTTCTTCTGACGAATATGGTTGAATAATACCTGTCGAGGACCTTTCAAGGTCATATCACAGCATAGACAGTAGTTAGCAATCTTTCCGGATGGTTTAATGAAATTTTCAATAACAACATGGTCTCTATTATTCAAAGGTTTGCCGCTACTGGCTAAAAATTTAGTCCAATCTAGGGATTTCGGTCCCCATTCTTCGGGGACTTGACCATCTGGGTTAGTGGCTTTCATCTTCCTGTATAACTTATCGGAGAGTTTTCCCAGATGGTTTTCATCTAGGATATGTAATATCAAAGAATCATTGTCTAGAGGTACTCTACAAAGTGAGCAGTTCTGTCCGTTATTATCCTCATTTATGTAATGATTCCTTAAGAAATCTTTATTCATATCTTTGATCTTGTCCGTTGTAGGTATGCCCATAGAGAATGAGATGTTTTTATCAGCTTGAAGGATGCAAGCCAAGTTATGTATATGTGTTTCGCTGAACACATGATTTAGAACACTATCATACCTAAATCTTAGTGTATAATACTCGCAAGTTATACAGAAAAAAGCTAGTTTTCCAGTCCTATCATCAACTAAAGTCAACAACTTATGGTTCAAGAGTAACTTAACAATATTATTCTCAATAGGTCCATAATAACGATACTTTTTGATTTGATTTTTCATTGGTTTGTCATTTGTATGGTCGTTATCGTCATTGTCATAATTCTTGTTTGCGTCAACGGCGAAGTTTTGATTTACATTGTCTCTTATACTCATAATTATTGGTGCAACTGAACTTGTTTGAGTTGAAAAGTCAATCACACTTATATTACTACACAATTTGTCGTACGCTTCTTGATAGAACTTCATAGCAGCGTCGATACTTGCTTCAGAATTATCTGGAAGCAATTTAATCAATGCAGATTCAAGCATCGTTGAGTACGAACGATCCAATTTCTCAACTGGCTTCAACATTTGTATTATTTGCTCCATATTCTGATTATCACCACATTCCAAAGCTGATAATCTACGAGACATCTTCGGGAGTAGAATGGGTTCTGCAACATCGATACTTTCACGTTTCAACTTAGGCATATGCGCTTCTAGACTGAAATGCTTTTGTAATGACTCCATTAAAGGCACATCATCAAATAACTCGATTTCAACATCACAATCGGTACAAATATGTACTTGTTTTGCATTATCTATGGTTAAGAATTCTGCTTTTAAGAGTTCTGGTACTTCATTGACTGGTAAACTGTTAAATCTCTGTCGCTGCATGCTACTCTTCTTCTCCGTTGTAAATATGTATTCAACATCTATACCTTCACGCTTCTTTAAAAAGACATTCTTATGAATATCATCCATATTCTTCAAATATTTTAGCACCACTGGATTTGCTTGAGTTAACGGATGATTTATAACATATTTCAAATGTCTCGCCAACTTTTTCACTTCATCTAACTTCCTAAATGAGAGTAAAGTTAACTCGGACATAGATTTAGTTAAATCTTCAATTGATTTCTTGTCCATTGTTGATAATATTGTTTATAAAATACACTTTCACTTATGACCTGTCTCGGTTTCTACCAAGATTATAGTCAGCCTGGTTTTTATGGCTTTAAGCGGTTTGATGCCCGTATTCGTTTGTGCGTTGATTTTGATCCTGAATGTATTGTATTGTGAATTTTGTTCGTAAAATGACTGTTGTGTAGATTATTGCCGCATTTCAAGATCTGTAACGTAGAAAATTGTACATTTAAATATTTGAATAATTGAAACCAATAAAAGAACGCTGCAAAAAGTGGTTATTGTAAGAAAACCGTTACAGATATATGCTATCGCGGAATTTTCTGTAGAACTTTTTGAGATCTACAATTCTTTCATACATCATTTTTATATACCTCTAACGGTTTAGGCAGCGTAAGCCGAGAAAAGTTAAAGTTTAGTGAATTTTTAATGCTGTCGTCCAGAAACACGCTGTTTATTAATTGTTCCTAAACATTAGTAATAATAAAATATAGTCTATGTTACTCACAGATAAATTACCTTTCTGATGGTGAAAGAATTTTTAAAATCGGCCCAGTAGTTTTTGAGTTATTTCAATACATACAAAAATACAAAGTTTTCCTCTTTATAATATTAGTACAGAAGTATAGATTATTCAAATATTGCAGAATTTAAATGTTCAATAAAACTTGTACAATATAGTGTTATGTAATGTTTTTCGTGTGTATGTTTATATACAAGAGTATTTACTAGCTTTCACCCGCGAGTCCGACCGCGTGGAATTTTAAAAAATAGTAAGTAGCCTATGTGTTCTTCGAGACTGCCCTACATCTATGGCAAATTACAAAAATAAAATTTCAATGTTTCAAAATGCAGACAACAGATGGCGTTATATTGTGCTTTAGAAGCTTAGTCTTGGATTTTTAATTTAAGTCAGGTTATCTTTAAAAGGGTAAGAGGTGACTTTATGTTCAAATTTTCAGAGCAAATTCAATTGTTTAAGCATAATACATATGTGGGAAGCTTTTCTGAACCAATGCACATTCCAGTTCATTAGTTACGGGTCTCGTAGGAATTTAGCAAAGATGAACAGTACGGTAGAACACAGACTGATTGATTTAGTACATTTTTTTATACCACGCAGATGGAATTATAGTTCAAAGCTAGTGTTACTAATATTATAAACTAGCTTTCGACCGCGAACCCGTCCGCGCCGTTAAAAAAAGGAAGTAGCCTATGTGTTCTTCCAGACTATCCTCTACATTCATGCCAAACTTCATCGATAATAACAAACGAAAGTTTGGATGGATGGATGTAGTTTGTAGCCTTAACTGCTAAAGGAAGATATAGAGGTTAGTTTGGAAAAACATGTAGGATACTTGTGAAAATGTTAATATTTACAGTTCCCATGGGTTACACTTTGTTTTGTTTATGTTTACTCTATAAAGCTGCAACTGTTCAACATTTATTGAAATAAGTCACAGATATCAAAACATAGTCTGGAGTAACACACAAAATATGGTTTATCCCCGAAAAATGCCAGGTTCCCGAGGGATACATTGTTTTTCATTCTCCCACTTTTCCTTCCCATCCTTTCCTCTTAAGAAAAGAGTGAAAAGGGAATGGGATCAAAATTGAGCCTCCGGCACCACACTCATCAGATGAAACGTGGAATTGCTTCCACTTCACGCCCATCTTCTTTGAGGTTGTGGTATTAAACTGGGCGAGCCGGCCAATTCGTGCAAGATGTTAAAGTGGGCTCTACTGCTGTCAAAGTCTAGTAGTAGTTGGGGCTACGGATTCCGCAACTCGACTGACGCGTATTATGCGCAAGAACAGAACATAGATTATTTCAGCCAACCAAGCTTTCTGAAGAAACCCAGCAAACCCTTAATATTGCTGGTTATCTCTGGGAGCGATTTCAGCAAACCGATATCTAACCCTGTATTCAGTCATTGCTGAGCAATGTTGTAAGACATTTAACGCAGTTTCTTGTTCCACCATGCATGAATTGCATGTAACAAAAATAATGTTAGTTAAGGGTGTGGTACAACAGTAGGAGTAGAAAGAGATAGACTGTGTTAAAGGTGAATGTGGGAATAGGATAAGGTAGGAGAGATGATAATGAGGTCTCAAAAAAGATGGCATGTGTGAAAGGTGACATGATCAAGATAGATTAATCTCGATATAATTTGGTGTGTGAATGTCATGTGATACAAGAATAGATAGCATTGTAAGTTTGTTATAATAATAATAGCTTATGCCTGTGACTTTGGGCAATCTTAATTAGTAATTAATGTTTTCTTCTAGATTGTTTTCGGTGACAAATTTCAATGAGATCTGTTGAATTGTTGAAGATATATAGGCAACAATCAGTCCAAACTTTTTTTATATATTAGTATGATTTTTATATTCACATTAAAATCAAGTAAAAGTAATTCTAATAAATATTTTATAACTTTTAACTGATTTCTCATCATCCACTTGCCCTTATCCCTTACGGAGGGTCGGCACAGTATGTGCTGCTCTTCCATACATCTCTATCAGCCGTCATATCTGAATACACTCCTTTCTTAAGCATATCCTCTTTCACACAATCCATCCATACTTTCTTCGGTCTTCCTCTTCCTTTGTAGCCATCCACATTCAATCTTAACACTTTCTGGTTTATGTCCCCATCATTTCGTCGCATAACATGTCCAACTAATTTAACTTTAACTGATTTCTGTCAACCCTAATTTGACATTTCAAATCTACATTGTAATTATGATTATTATGGGGGATAATAATCATTTAATTCAGATATCAAAGATCCAAAAGGAGTTACTGTAAGGCTTTTTTATTTAATTTTACTTGGACATAAAATTAAACGATAATGTTACTAATATTATAAATGCGAAAGTTTAGATGGATGAATGGATGGATGTTTGAGAGTTTGTATCCTAAACTGCTTAACGGATCTTAATGTTATTTGGCATATATGTAGAGGATAGTCCGGAAGAACACATAAGCTACTCACTTTTGATTTTTTTATTCCACGCGAACCGAGTCGCGGGCGAAAGCAAGTTATCCATAAAAACATGTAATAACATTTCGTGTTATTTTACGACGCAAGAAAAAACTGACCTAAATTGTAATTTAATTACGTTTTAACGACTGTTAGCGACAAAGTATAAAAATTGTGTAAAACAGTTTAAAAAAAAAAAACTTTTTTTTTAAGGATTTAATATCTTATTTTTATTTAATTTAATAGATAAATAAATATACTAACAATTGTCATATATAGGATGCGTACAGGGACAAAAATAACACGACAAAAGAACAATAACTCTGAAATACCGTAGTTTACCGAGATAAAAAGTTAGGTTATAGTGATGATGCAAATATAAGATACCTTCAAAATAAACAAAATATATGTTATAATTATCAGGTTATAATAGTAATAATGATAAAAATTACCTGCAAATCTTGATTTTGTGCATGGCAGCTGGGTACCGCTTAATTTGTGTGTACGGGCATCTGACAGTCTTTTGGTGACATGTTAGGCAATAATGGAGGCCAAAGAAGACAAAGACTTTCGATACAGATTAAAAATAACGCGTATAAACTGGAAAAATCGGTTATTTTTAAGTTTATATTAACTAAATCGTGTATGAAACGTTACAGTTAAGTGAAAAATATCATATAATTTATCTCATTATTACCAAACACTGTTCTGTTACAATATAAAAACGTTTTTAGTTAAATATTTAAAAATAATAATCTGTGGTTGAAGACGTCTTTTGTTTTTTTTTAATTTAACATCACTTCAGTCCAACTTAAATCACTTAATTATAAGAACCTTTGCTTTACAATTAAATTAATTAGGATAATCATTACAAATTGGCAAAAGAGTCTCATGTCATGGTCACGACAATCAGATCGATAATAATACTCTTTACAATTTTTATACGATTTTTACCACTGGGACGCAAATAAGAGTAATGAATTTCGTGTTTTGCATCGTCTGTAAAATTTATTCGCATTATTTTGTTGCAGTTTTCAGCCACCGAGCGTGAAAAGATACCCATAATTCATAAATAGGGTCACCTTGACTTGTTTACTCAGTTTTATTTACCGATTAAATGACATCACCATTACTACTCCACGTTTCAATAGTGATGTGCATTTCACAAACTTACAACAAAACATTAAACGACAGAACTGTTCAAAAAAGAAGTTGAGAAGGGTGCCAAAAGTACCCTAAACCCATGAAGGAAAAGATGGTATCCATCTGGGCAGGGACGCTGTGGCGTCAGACGTCTACTCATGTTCTTAAGTACGAGATTAGATGAAGATCCACTATTTAACTATAATTTTTACTTAAAAATACAGTTAGATAAGTTTATGCTTTTTATATCTATTTTAAGGCAGTCAAAGCCGAAACCAACTGAATCTTCACAATGGATATACTTCAAAAAGGCGGGAATTATTTGGAATAATCTCTTATCGCAGTTATGTATATGTACTAAAAGTAAATTATGTATTTAGTTAGAATAAGAATCACCATCATCATCCTTGTCCTACTTCCGTAGGGTCGGCTTTATGTTATCTGTATTAAAAATGTCGACAGTGGTTATTGGATTTTTATAAACATCACTATTTTATGATGATAATGGTCGATCTGAATACATTATTCCAGGTTTCTTGGTGTATATTTTAATAAATCAATGACTTCAAGGGTATGTCTTTGTAAAGAGCATTGTGCGACCGTGACTTCCTTTGGCTGTTATATAAACCACATTGTTTACTTTAGTGCTAGTAATATTATAAATGCGAAAGCTTAGACTAATGTTTATTAGAAGATATCTGCAAGCGATTCAGGGAATTTGGATTCTGCTTGATTTATGTAATATATTTAAATATTTTTTAATCTCTGTGGACAGAATCAGGAGCGACAGCTAGTTATGATAAATAGCACCTGATGATCCTGAATATTGGTTACTCACATTTTTTCTTTACCTTTGTATAATTACCCAAGGAATATTATAAAAAAGAATTTTGCAATATTTATTCAAGTGTTCAATTGTTAAAGCCAGTTGTTAGCTTTTGCTTTTTATAATAAATTTCGTAGAACATCAACTAGTAAAATTGTTTTAATTTTAAAATATTACTTACACTTACAAAATAATTATTGACTTATATACCATGTCCAAATAAATTAATTTGTTTCAAAGCGAAAGTTCTATTTCATTTGTTTCTGGCTGAATGTTCTTGTTACACGGCCATTACCGGAAATAATTTTTCTGTCATCTGTCAGTTACACGTCAAAAGTTGTCAACTGTCAAACTTTTGTTAAAAAAAAAGTTTGCAAATTATTTGAAAAAGAAACAATATATTCTAACAAATGTAATGTGAAATTAATTCATCAATAATGACAACAGTCAGTGAAAAGGAAGACTTTAGCGAGAATGATATTGAATCGTTCACATTGCCCGAAACCGTATTATGTGTGGATACGATATGTCATATTTGTTCTGCTGAATTTCTACATGATGAGGATTTAAAAGTACATTTAGTACAACAACATGGCACTGAGCAGACAAAATCTTGTCGTTTTTGCGCGTACATATACCCTAATTTAGAGGAATACGCGTCACATATCGTCAACGTTCATGTACTCGATTTAAAATGCTGTAAATACTGTTTACGTGTTTTTGCTCAAGGTAAAAATGTTAAAGAACACGAAAAGAAGCATTTATCATCTAATTCGTCGTTTGAATTGAGCTGTTCCAACTGTAAATTGACTTTTAAAAGTATATCAAGTTTGGTCGACCATGAGTGTTCGATACACTCTGATATCCAAGATGGGGTGGTATTAAGAGATTGTTATTCCCTTCTATCTTCATTCTTAAACATAAATGCTCTTACATTCTTCAAATTTTTAGGAGAAAAACAAGAATATAGATGTATGAGTTGTGATTTCTTCACCCAAGATATAGAGTATTATGTACAACATTTGAACCAGAAAAACTGCAGATGTTTAGTCTGTGATAATTGTTGTCATGTTTTCAAAGATTTTAAAATGTTAAAAAAACATTTGAATACCAATTCATGTTCTACTGAAGATTTTAAGTTGCCGTGTAAGAAATGTTTTAAAATGTTCACTTATGATAATATGGAAAAGCATGTAAAAGCGTGTAATGCGTTAATATGTCATTCGTGCAATGCTGTATTTGATTCGGTTAAGAAACGAGCTGAACATCAAAGCAAAGTCCATCCGATGATGTTTTCTATCAAAGAATGTAAATACTGCCACCAAGAATATGTGGGTGAAGAAGCTTTACAAAAACATATGAAAAGAACGCATGATAAAAAACGCCATCTCTTCAAATACTTCTGTATTTATTGTGAAGATACTATATTTGATCATCCCAAGAAATTGTTTAATCATTTCTTCAAGAAGCATAAGAATTTGGAACCTTTTACGTGTAAAATCTGCAATGTAACATTCAGAATGCGCAAAAGTTTTACTTTGCACATCAAATTGAACCACCTAAGTGTTGGTAATGTTAAATTTGATGATAAATATCACGTGATATTTGAGAAAAATGATTTCTCAACTAAAAATGAAAGCAATAATAAACAGAATACAATTAACAAAGAAACAGACGAAATTGAGGCAAATAAAAGTTCCGAGTCTTTGTTAGAAGAAGTAAAATGTAAAAAAAGAAAAAGAGAAGTTGAGTTTGTTGTATGCCCAACAGAAAATGAAAGTGATCAACCTGATCTAAAAGATAACAGAGGGAAGGTTAGAGATAAAATACTGCAAGGAGACAGTGAAGTCGACTTAGTTTTATGTCCCACAGACAAAGAAACAAACCAACCAGAAGAACAGAAAGAAAGGAGAGTAATTAAAAGAAAACGTAAAATAAAATATAAAGATAGTAAAGACTACGTTAATTTGACGGTAGATGGCTCTGAAGATTCTGATGATGAACCACCAATCAGGAAAAGAAAACGGGGGAAAATGCGTGTGGATAACACCAGGTTTCCCAAATCGTTGGATAGATCTAAACAACTACAGAGGAATAAAGAGAAATTTACTTGCAGAACTTGCAAAAAATATTGTTACACATACCAAAACTATCAACATCATATGACTCTACATAAAAAAAATCTAAACAAGAAATGCATAAAATGTCCCAAAGTTTTTAAAACGACTGAACAATTAAACCAACACATAACTAAGAAACATTCTACATCGAAATTAACGGAGACTTTAAAGAATGTTCTAGAAAGACGTAAACAAACTAAACATCCTACAGTAATGAAGCCTATTATAATAGAACGGAAACAAATTAGTGAGAAATTCGCTAAAACTATCAAAAAAGTGAACATCAATTCTTGTGACACTTCTGTGAAAATAAAACCTGTAATAGACAAATTATCCGTAAGGAAATTCATTGAAAATTTCACACCAGATTCCAATGGTATTAATTGTAAAGGAGACACAATTTACATCAACAACAGTCTCACAATAAAACCGATCATAGCACCTAATAAACCACCTTTTATAAAACTAATAAAATCCCAACTAAATCAACCAGAATTCACGAAACTCAAACAACCAGAGAGATTTAAAACCGAAAATAACAAAACATATTCTGTATCTATTAAAATAGCTGATCCAGATGCTAAACCAAAAATGAATTTCGATCCAACGCAAGAAATTCATGAACAAGCAGAAGAAACTAACGAAGACTCAATGGATCGTATTCCAGATGTCGCAGAAGAAGTAATGTTAGACGATACTATAGAACCAAAACCAACAGACACTAAAGATTTATCAAATGTTTTTGAATATTCCTTTGCACATTTTACACAACAATCACCGTATTACAAGATAGTTAAACTTAAAGATATGGTAACGAATGTACCAAATGAATTAGAAGAGAAACTAATAAAACTACCTGATGGTACTAAACTTGTGAATGTCAATCCTTTGGCACATCTTCTAGAAGGAAGGGATATAGATTTAAAAAGAAACAAATATTATAAACCGAAATTAAGTGATATTGCGAAGGCGGTAGCGAGTGCTTTAACAAAAACTCCAACGAAAAAGCCGAAAGCAAAGAAACCGAAAACATCTAAGGTAGTAAATGAACAATAGATTTACACTATAACAATGTAATATTAAATTTAGCGGTTTTTTAACATAAGGAGGCAAACGAGCAAGCGGCCACCTGAATCCGCCAAAATGGCGAAGCGACCGCTGCCCAGACATCTGCAATTGCAGATGAGTTGCCTACCCTTATGCGACAGAGGAAACGCACATGAAGAGAAGATCTCGCCTTCCTATGTATCTCCTCTGTAAAATCCACTTCCCCTTTCCATCCTCTCCTTATAAAAAAAGGGTGGTAAAGAGAAAGGGACTTAAATTAGGCCTCCAGGTAAATAAATTAGAAGAAATCCTCAACGAAGATCGTTATTGTTAGCAAATGATAATTCGTCTTATAAGATTTTTGATTTGCTCTTTTTCCAGAAACATTAAATTTAATAAGCTAAGAAGCTTTTAGTATATGAGATTGGTAAAGAAATTGAATATTTTGTTTTAAAATATATTAAGGCACTTATTAAACTAACGTAGTACATAGATTAATTTAAAAAAAAAATTAGGGCGTAGTTTTTATTTTGGTGACCCTCAAACTTGCTATACTATGTAAATTGTAGATTTCTGTTTTGTAGAGCGTTGTCCTTGTCTATGTTTACTGTTCTACTCTTTCCCGTGTTAATTACGAATTTTGTTGATTTTAAATTGTTTTCTTCAGTCTCCTAAAGCATCGTAGATTTTATCTTTATAGCCGGCGTATTCTGAAGAAGATTCTAGAAAATAAACCCTATCGTTCTCCTTTCTAAGGACTTTTTTGTTTTTCTTCTTTTTAGCGTTGTATTTACTTCTTTGTGTCGCTTTCTCAGGGGAATCTTTAACTTCTTCGGATAATTTAATATCTTCCATATCTTTAGATTCAGTAATAATTGCAGTGTCGTTAATGTTTATTTCGTCTGATTCGTTATTAATAATTTGTTCAGAATCTTGTACAGGCTCGTTTTCTTTTTCTTCTGTAGTCTCTGCTATCTTTTTAATCGGTTTTTTGTTTTTATTGTTTTCTTTTTCCTCGTAACTGACGCTGTCGCTTATTGATTTCTCTTTCGACAATTTACTTTTTTCAACTAATTTTTGTTTATTGTTACCTTTTCGTTTTTTCTTCTTATTTAAATTGACTTCAGTTGATATATTTGCGATAGAATTTTCTATACTTATCGAATCTTCTTGAGATGCATTAGTCTTATTATTGGATTTATTTTTAACGAATTTAACGTATTTTAGACTTAAATTATCGAATGAATCACGATTGATAATCGATTTTACGAAATCATCGTCGAACATTGATTTTGGAAATAAATCTTGTGTTGTAACATTTTTTTCGAAAGAATTTCGATAACTTACTTCGTTTTTAATTTTATTGCTTGTGGACTTGCTTCGATTTTGCATGTCTTTAATTTTCTCTACAGCCTTGTCGGCAATTTTGTTTGCCAGTTCGTCAAATTTATCAGATTTGAGTAATTTATCGATTATATCATCGATGTTTGGATTGTCATCGATTTGTAACGTCGAAATTAAAATGTTTGAAGGAAAGTAAACACTTAATGTACCTAGAGAAAGCAAAATGGGATAATTTTATAATATTGTAAATAAGAACGAATAAATTTTTTTATGGATTTTAAATTATGCTTTTTATTTAAGAATACTTTTTGCCCTTTACTTCGTCCGCGCGGAATTAATAAAAAACAAAAGCAAGTACCCTATGTATTCTACCAGACTGTTGTCTACATCTGTGTAAAATTTCATTCAGATCCGTTTAGCCGTTTTGGCTACAAACTAACAAACATCCATCCACCTGAACTTTCGCATTTTTAATATACGTAAGATTACTTTTAATCACTACTTTACCTAAATACGTATGATTTGTATTAATAATGAATTTATCATAAACTTACATAGAATATATGACAACAAATATTTCATCGTTTTATTTTAATAGATTTTTATAATACCCAACATTCTAGCCGTTTCACGGTCAAACCTTGTTTTAAATTAAAACCCATAAAATTATATTAACATCGATAAATGGATTTATTTTATTGTATGTTTATTGCTCATAAATTGAAAACTCATAAATACATCGAGCGAAAATGGCGCTGATATCGAGATGTCGGACAAATATATTAACTCAGTTTAAAATTAAAATAATTTTCTAAATTCTTACGATTTAAAAACCTTTGCTAAAATGATTATTAAAAAGATTGCCGGTATTTAAAAAAAAACGTATCTGTCAAAATGTTGACAGTTTTAAAATACCCGCGAGTGCATTTTTGATAGTTTAAAATGTCGGTCCCAGTAATAGCAGCGCTTAGACAACCAAAGCATGTGAATAAACCTAAGAAATTGAAGAAATTCGATGATGATTACGTTATAATAACAATGAAAGATGATAAGAAATTGGTAGTCAGTTCAGACGGCTACCACGGTATTGTTAAAATGAATGAAAAGCTTGTCTGCGTTCTTTGCAACTACGAAATTAATTTGGACGAGAAAGAGAAGGCAGATCATAAAGTTAAGAAAACCCATTTGAAAACGCTGACTTTGTTTCCTCATGTAGAAAGTTTCCGTGACAATCTGATACGTCAGGTAAACCCAACTCATATTTATATTTAAGCTCCTTTTCCATTAATTTGAATTTCGCCTATATAAATTTTAAAATGTGGCCCTGTACTATGTCGCAACCAGAGAAGAGTGAAGTGCAAGCAATTCCGCGTGCACATCCTCGTACTAATTTTAGTGTACTCTCCTTTCCCACCTTTCTAAAGACATTATGGAAATGGGAAAATAGCAATAGCAACCTAACCTAACCCAACTACTTCACATTTTAAAATAATACCAAGGTAATATATAGGGACAAGCAATGGGGACATAAACCAGAAGGTGTTAAGATTAAATGTGGATGACAAAGTAAGAGGAAGACCGAAGAAAGTATGAATTGTGTGAAAGAGGATATGCTTAAGCGAGTGAATACAGATATGACAGCTGATAGAGATGTATGGAAGAGCAGCACATACTGTGCTGACCACAACGGATAATGCCAAGTTGATGATGACTATGGTAATAAATATTAATATATTTTTAACTTTACAGTTAAATAAAAATGGATGTTATTGCACTATCTGTAATGTGATGGTGTCAACACATTATTTGATGTGTCATGTCGATGGAGAGCAACACAAGCAGGAACTTGAGAAGGCAGTTATAAGAGCAACAACATATAAACCTAAATAAACTAATCAATCCATCAGTACTGTGTTTTCATCACTATATGTCCTATTGAGAGGCTCGGAGCCTACTCTAAGTCATACTGTCCCATTGTGGGTTGACTTCACAGATGTGCATCATGTTATTTTGCCATTAAAATGTTCAGTTAATTGTGATCACATGAAATTTGAAAAATATTTGTAAACGACATGATTCAAACCCAGGACCTAGATTACAAATGCTTAACCTCCTAGCTACTATGTTAAAATGATATCTGTCTCCAAATCAGTATTTGTTCCACTTTTATAAGTATAGAAATGATGGAAAGGTAGCTTATGCAAGTTACTATACTAATTATTTTAAATTCTATCTTAAAGGTAAGGACACCTGCTACTAGGGTTCATAATGAATATGAAATACAACTTGAATTATTTCACAATTGTTTGTTAGTCAAGTCTTAATAAAACAATCTATACTAATATAAAGAGAAAGACTTCGAGAGACTTGGAAGAGATCTGCCCACTGTTATACATAGGCCAAATTTTGTATGTATTGAAATAACTCGAAAAATACTGGGTCCAAATAATTCACCATTAGCAAAGTAATTTATCTGTAACATATGCTATATTCTTTTATTATTCTTTAATTGCACGCGAAGTCGCGAGCAACAGCTAGTGGTTAATATTGGTTTTTACTTTTTTATGAAAAGTATTGTAACCAAATCAGAGGACTTGTGTTATAAAATAAAAGATGATATTGTATTAACTATTTTAATGAATAACAAGCATATTACTATCGTCTTCGCTTCTTCATGCGCTTTTTTGTGTTTTTCTTACCAACTTTATTTAGTTTCGCGATCTTCCTCTTGTGCAACCATACGGGATACTGACCGTTTTGATCTTTCAATGTTTTTGAACTGTATATTTTTTTCTCGCCATTTTCAGCAGATACTTCTACGTTCTCGTCGTCTGAGCTCATTTCAACATCTTCTTCGACGTCAGGCGGTGGCTTTTCTTTCTTTTTTCTCTTTCCAATCTCGCCAGCATCCAAGTAAATCACTTGCTCACTCTCCATAACCTCTTCGGTAGTTTTTTCTTCCTCTTTTATACCCAGCATCTTTTTTAATCTTGCCAATTCCTTGACGGCGTATCTTTCCCGTTTTATGGCCCTGCATTTTCGCTTCCATTTGCTACGAATTGATTTTGCCATTTCGTAATGTTTTTATTTTTTCGCACAATGCTTGTTTTTACGACGAAACGTCAAAAAGAAAGGAATGTGGTGTTTTTTAAATAGACAAAGGTTCATCGCATATACAGCCACAGCGACATTACCTGAAATATTTAAAATGTTAAAAACGAGGCAGAGCATTAAAATGAAATAATAATTTTTCTGTTTCTCAACTTGTGTCTTCTGTTTTTAAATTCTATTTTAAATTAGACAACAAACCGTTTCATGGAATGGACTAAAATAGACTATCCTCTGCTAAGAAAGATTTTTTATTTATAAGTATTGTTGCTTCTATTATCTAGTTATATCGTACATTCGATGATAAGAAAATAAAAATGTTTTATTTTGCACTTAAAATTATTTATCAATATTTCGTAAAACGCAAAACACAACAAACAAATAATAAAACATGACATTTTTGACAGCGCGAGGAGCTTTTTGAAGTGCAATCTTTTCGCTCTCTTTCACTTGGAGCACTTCCTATAAGTTTGTCTTGCTCTTTAAATCATTTTGATATTATCGAACGACAAAATGTACCTTCTTATTGATGTCTAGTTCCTGTCGGTCAGTTTTAATTATCCTGTTTCATGGTTAAATACTAATTAATTCAGTTGTTAACGTCCCAATTATTGTAATTTGTTTAATAAGCTATCGTTTTGTTGTATTAGTCAGCGTTTAGCGCTGCCCTTCGAGGTATCTTTTGTCATCGAGTGTGAATTGGTGTATAGGCGAGGCTAGTTTTGCAATGGAGACGTTGCAAATTGGTGAAGAAATGTCTGGAGAGGTGGATGATAAGAACATGAGAGATGGTGAGTGTATTTTCATATAATGGGCGTGATTTTTATGTCTTATATACACGAAATGCGAAGTCTTATGTGCATGTAAATTTCAATAAATGTAGCTCACGAATACTTATTATTACAATAAGTTATACCATAATAATATGTCAAAACTGAAGAATAAAATGTAAAAAAGTATGATATGCAAGATGTATATGTTTATTAATATTAAATATTGATTATTAAAAATATTTTTTGTGTTATCTTCTGTCTCTTGATTATTGTACTATGCTATGCTGTTGTATGTAATCCAGTTAATTTATTGAATCTTATTATTTATTATAATTATATATAGTATACAATTTCACATCACTATCATCATATAATCGTATAAATATTATAAATGCGAAAGTTATGATGGATGGATGGATGTTTGTTAGTGTTTGTAGCCTAAACAGCTAAACGTATCTCCATGAAATTTGGCACAGATATAGAGCATATTCTGGAAGAACACATAGGCTACTTTTTATCCCTGGAATAGTTACGGTTCCCGTGGGATTCATTAATTTAGTTTTTTAATGTTTACTCAATCATTCTGAAAAGGTTCAACATATGTTAATGAATTTTGGCACAGATATAAAATAAAATCAAGAGTACACATGGGATAAGGTTCATCCCGGAGAAATCTTGGTTTCCCGTGGGATACGTAGCTTTTTGTTATTTATATAGTTCGCATGTTTTCTAATACCACGCGGACGAAGTCGCAGGCAACAGCTAGTATCAATATAGATTAAGATTGGTTGGTAATTGTGTTTTGTTTATTTTTCCAGATAAGGAAGAAGGAATTCTAAGCGATGGTATTGAGAATGGAATTTACAGTATACATTTATTGGATTTTTCTGATGACGTACTGCTTTTAATCTTGAAGAATCTCCCACCGAGAGATCTGAAGGCACTTAGCTTGTGAGTAATTCATGTTAGCTAGTCTAGTAATTGTTTTTATATATGTAAATCCATTGTATAGCACGGTCTTCATCATCACCAGCTCGCTATATGTCCCCAATGAAAGGCTCGGAGCCTACCCTAAGTTATGGTGACTAGGCTATAGTCAACCATACTGGCCCAATGCGGGTTGGTTGACTTCACACATATCTTTGAATTTCTTCCCGATAGTGCAGGAATCACGATGTTTTCCTTCACCGTAAGAACGTCGGGTTAATTGTGTATGTATGAAAATTCTAAAAATCGAAAATCACATTGGGACAGCGGGATTTGAACCCAAGACCTGAAGATTACAAGTCAAATGCTTAAACCAATGAGCCACAACGCTCCGTGGTATGGACTCCGATAGCATGGTATGAGCATATTATGAGGAATGAGTTGCACGTAACGAGGAGAACGTTAGTTATGAGTGTGGTACACCGGTAGAGGTAGACATAGAAAGAGATGTATTGTGTGAAAGGTGACATGATGAAGGGAGTGATGACTGAGATGACGTATGCTAGTTATGTGGAGGACAAAAACCAGTTGCGCCACTACGGGAGTAGGATAAGGAGGTAGATAATTATGGAATTCCTTTGTAATGGTCTTCATCATAAACTACTGAACAGATTTTGACGAATGAGGTGTCATTAGATTAGTCTTCTTCTCCGGAGTGTCATAGAGTATATTGTAATGACACAAAATACATACAGTGGATGTGAGGATGAAAAGTACCAGTGAAATTTTGACTCTCCCCTTTCTGTTTTTGTTAGTCTTTGGATTTAGTCAATTGGGTTTATTTATTTTTTAAATTTAAACTCTTACCAATATTATAAATGCGAAAGTTTAGATAGATGGAGAGTGTAGCCTAAACTGCTGAACGAATCTCGATGGTTGTCATACATGTAGCGGGTAGTCTGGAAGAAGACATTTTTTTTAAATCACACGGAAGGGGTCACAGAGTGAAGATAGTTAAGTTACGTTTGTTTTTCAGTACTTGTACGAAGTTCGCCAGTTTAGTATTAGAGAGATCTTTGTGGCGTAAAGTGGATGCTAGAGGTATACCGTGTGGTACTGCGAGGTTCAAATGGTTACTGAATGCCTTCCATGGAGATACAACCAGTATTATGTTGACTGGATATGCGCAGCAGAATGTTGGGTAAGTTTTTTTTAATTTATATAAGAGTTCACGTGCAACATCCATATGGAATTATAAAGACTTCTTTTTCATCTTCTTTTACGGAGTGGACCTCATCGTTACTTCGATGATTTCGCCAACATCAAGTTTGAAGATTATCTATACTATTATAATAAAGCGTAAACACACACTTTGTTGCCTAAGATGTCAGCAATTACACCATATTTTTGAATAATCCTTTTTTTAATGAAAAGCCCTACACGTCACGGTTTAGGCTATATATTTTCACGTCGTTAAACTTATGGGGAAATATTTTGGATAAAAATCCTAATGTGGGACAGAGACCATAAGTTGTTGCCAACATCAAGGAAGCAAGGTTGCCATGGTTTTGACATCATGTCATGTCATTTTGACATTTACAATTGAGAATTTGACAAATGTGAACAATAGAATAATTTTTTTATAATTTTATGCGGATGAAGTCGCATGGGAACAGCTAGTTGATAGTATGAAAACAAGACTAAAATTTTGAACAGCAGTTAACTAGGTAGACGGAATCCAGTGTGATTGACAAATAACTGATTGCTGATGATATATATATATATTTTTATTATAACATAAGGTGGCAAACGAGCAAGCGACCACCTGAAACCGCCAAAATGGCGAATCAACCGCTGCCTATAGA